GATGTTTTGAGAGAGCCGCTTCAGTTGGCCATGTTCAGAGCAGAAATAGTCATGCTCTTAGAGAAGAAGCTGAAATGGTGCCTTTTTTATCTTCAGTTGTAGTGTAACCAATGCTCAGTCTGCAGAGCAAATGTGACCCACGTGGTTGAAGAGAGGACAGTGTGCAGTGGCATGGGTTGTGAAGGGGGCCCCAAGACAGCTATACCAATTCAAAGCAAGCCCTGCACCTCACCCAGCATCGTGCCTCAAAAGGCTGTAGGCAGGCAGCTGTACCACTGTAGCTTGTTTAGGGAGCCTTYTGAACCTGATGTGATTTACCTGTTTAGTAGCCCTCTTTCAAGTGTTTGTCCCACTCATATTTTGACCCATGTAAACTTTTTCTGTACCCACAGTATCCTTTGGCAAGGGCATCCAGAGGTCTGCTCTGTGCAGCTGCAAGAACTGCCTCACTTGTAAATCTAGATCTGAGCAGTTTTGGTTGATGGCCCTTGGTTTTTAAACTGGAGGAGATGGTAAATGGTCAAATTCTTGACCATCCTTGCCATAGTGTATATATTTGTGAAAAAAAACTTTACCAGATCCCCTTCAAGTCACCCTTTTTTTCCCCAGACTCCATTATTTCTGACAGCAAAGCTGTTCCCCAGTGTTTGTCATCGTTGTTGCACTTCTCTTGACACTTTCTCCGGGGTGCCTGTGAGTTGAACAAACAGTAGCAACAACAACAAAACCCAGATGTTTTCTGTGTGTTTGTGAAAGGGAGACGGATCACTTTAGAAATGTTTTCTGTCTAATAACTGTAGTCAAAGGCATAAAGTAATTTTAAAGGAAATTTAGGATTAGTATTGTCAGTTATTGACAAATAGTACTTTAGAGCTTCTCAGTGAAGGAAAAAGGCTGTAAAGCTGCAGGGGTAGAAATATCCCCTCAAACTATGTAATCCATTTGGTGTTCAGCACTGTTTAGCCYTGTGCTTTTAGAAGATGTGGAAAAGTATCAAGACTTTTTTAGCTGCTCTGCAGTGATTAGAGACCCCAGATAATGTTCATAAGATCTCAAATGATTAGATCAAATTATTAGAATATTAAAGGACTACTGGTAGTGATTATTGATATCTAAGATAACTTGGTGCAACTGCTGCAGTGCCTTTGGATGTGGTGCAAGCATAACCTATACAGTCTGAGATGGGGGAAATGTTTGTGCAAGAGGCTCTTCATCATTCTGTCACGAGTTTTTATTTGTTCTTTTGATCTGTCAATGCTCTGGCTGTTTCTGTGTGCTCTGGCATCCTTTCTTTGGGTACACCCACCTGTCCCTTGCAATAAGCCTTAAGTCAATGTTCTCAGCTGAAATTTTGCACGCTTGTTCTTCTGAAAGGGTCGTGAACATCCACCTCCTTTGCAGAAGGTAAGTGGATGGCATTTTATTGAAATGGGTCATCTTCAGAGCACTTCAGATCAGGCTCCTGAAATGACCAGTTGCGTGTGGAAAACCTGAGCTCCAAGCTCTGCATGCGTCTCCGTGGAAAGGTCAGATCTTGTGACAGTTTTCGAAGATTGCTGTGAGGGTACAGATTTTGCAAAGACACAGTGTACTCAGAAGCTGAACTACAGCCCTGCTGGGAGATGCCTGGCTGGCAGGGATGCTTGATGCTCCTTTCTTTCTTGGGGAGGCATTGAAATCCTGGCTGTGATGTGACAAGGGAGACTTAAATGACTCAGTGACTCTGACACTGCATTTTTCTCTTGCCTTTCCCTGGCTTCTCAGGGCTGTTTCCCATGACCTTCGCAGTGGCCCTGGAGCCTGCTGGGCTGGCTGGCACAGGGGAGATGCAGGGACTGGGCATCTGAGGTTCCTGGGTCCTGCACTGTCCCTTGCTCCTTGAGTCGAATCACCTGACTGCACTGTCCCCTCTTGCCACTGCTCTTGTTCCCCATGCACCTCYAGGGCCTGGGAGATGGTTTGGCTTGCTCCTGTCTCAAAAGGCTGGCAAGAGTAGCCCTGATCTGCAGGGCATAAGGATCAGGAAATGGCTTCTTCCTTATCGCATAGGATTTTGCTATCTTTTGGAAAAAGACAGACTCACAAACCTAAAATTTCTTATTAATTTTMAAGTAGCACTTGGCTCGCTACCTCCTCCCTATCAGCCCTTGTGTTGTCAGTAAATTATATTGGATTTGCAATTAAAAGCCAGCTGTGCCAGTGCAGTACCAGCCAAATGCCACCATCCCTGTCCCCTGGGCATCCTAGGGAAGGTGTGGAGCACACATCTCTTCCTTCAGTGAGCTCTTCTCTCACTTCAAGAGGGAAAGATGAGAGTTTAAAATGGGATCTCAGGCATGTTATTTCTGTTAATCAGAGTTCTTGCTTGCTAAGAAATGCAGTTTTTAATACTSTGCGTTGTTAATGTAGCAATTCCCAGAGCTGGAAAATGCCAAACATCATGCAAAAGGTAACTGTTTGAGCAGAACTTGTACTGGTGGATGTCTGCCTCGGGCTGATTGTTTTCCTTTTTCCTTTCTTGATTAAAATAGTTTTGGAGAAGTATTTCTGCTTCTGCTGTTTGGGTTTTTTTTTAAGTTTTGAAAAGCATTTGTGCCCAACCGTGTTGGAGTAGGAGCTTGCAGCCAGGCAYGGGGAACAGCACTGCGGATGTGCTGTTCTGTGAAGATCCAACCACTTCATCTGACTCCTGAGCCTTTGTGTCCCACCTCTGGGACAGCAGTCTACTGAAAGCTGTAACAAAACCTTGACTGGTTTGTCTTCTCTCCATGCTGGAGCTGGGCAGGACTTTTTCCACACTGTCTTCCTCTGTCCCTCAGCTTGTTAGGCTCCCCGAGCCAGAACAGGAAGCAAGGAGCTCTTTGAGCTTGCTCACATTAGCAAAGGCACAGCAAGCGGTAATAAAAGAGGAGGAATATAGAAAGTGGATCTCTTTTGCACCTGGGGGAGGTCTCCAGGTTGTAGGGTTACTGAAAAGGTCCTAAAAACCACTGGCAAGGGAAGGAGGAAGACCAGGTTGGTGCTGGCCATGAGGGTGGCGAGATTAGACATCTACCAAAAATCTGTGCTGTGGGTCTCCTGGGTTGTGATCTTGTAGCGAGCTTTGGGAAGTTCCATACCCATCTCTGATAAATGATATTTTTCATCTAGATAGTTGGAAAACTATGTAAAAAATCCAGCATCATGTTAAAAGCCTGCTAAACAAAGTTGGGCGCTTGGCTGAGGAATACCTGAATGAGTGTTGTGTGTGCAACATTTCATTCCTTGCACTGCATGTTTGCCTTGTGATGCATTTTAATTGTTATTGCAGGTGCTCTAGCAAGGCTACATGTACAAAAATGGRATTATGAGTTGTCTTTAGGTGTGTAATAAAGATCTTGCCCTTCCTGCTGCTTTGAAAACAGTTCACTTCAAAGGCTGTAGTATTTGCTTTGTCCCTTGGCCTTCATGGGGTGAGAGAAGAGGCTGTCTGCCTTAGCAGTATTTTTCTCCAGCATGATGAGATTGGTACAGCAAACAGTGGGGGAGTGTTTGCCTCTGTTGTTCCTCTCCCGGTTTGTTTCAAATGTGCTAGCTTTCCTCGTCCTCCCCTTAAATCACATTATTTCATAAAGAGTAAAAAGAAACATAATTTGGAGCAGCAGCAAGCTGAGCCCAAGTTAATAGTTTGAATTGCACTCCATCTGTTCAGCTGCATGCCCTGATGGATGTGCTGAACCCATTTTTCACAATTTGTTTTAAGCTGCTAAGAACCATCCCTCCTGGCTCCAGTCCAGGCTGGCTGTGCAGGAAACTTCGTATCTGGACATCGATGTCCAGAGGGCAGGATCAAATCAATAAACCCCAGATTCAAAGCTACCTTTTCACCTGCAAGATGCCAGTTTTGTAAAGGTTAAATTCTTCTGTGGACTTGAGCATTGTTATTGAAAGTTAGAGGGGGGGGCATCCCCCAACATACACACGCACAGAGAGGATGAAATTTGCAAACGTGATTATGCAGGACCTGCTTTAAWTCGGCTTATTGCTGTTTTATGATGGCAAGCAAGCAGTCACAGAAGCCGGGGTGATTGGCCTTGCCATGTGTGCGTGCTGCTGGTAACTCAATAACCGATGAACACCCACCGTGGTCTCCAGACCTCCAGCCTTTGATGTAGCAACAAACAAGATAGATTGCTGTAATTTATCTGGCCCCTGGAGGGCCGTGCTGGTAATGTGCCACGAGCCCAAGGGCCAGCCATCCATAATCTGTGTAAAAACACGGCGGATGGCAGTGGCCGTGCTGCAGGGCTGCCTTTGTGTTGTGCTGCTCACGTTTGTGTGTGTGCGGGGCCCTGACTTGGGCAGCCGGGGACAGCGAGCTTCAGTGGGATGTGCCTGCTCCCTCCATTAACTCTAATTGGTTTTGTTATGTACTAAACACACCTTTCAAATAGACTTCAGAAGGCAGTGCTGGAAACCTGATGTGTCTCTGTGTGTAAGAGAGAGTGGAGGTGTGAGGGTTTTGGGGGAAAAGAATGGGATTTTGTACCAGCTGGAGCCTGTGGCAGGTTTGCTGATGGAGGATGAGTGCCTGGGGCATTGATGTTGGGTGGCCCAGCAAATGGAGGAGAGGGAGTGCAGCCCCCTGGCTTGCACAGGGGCCTCCCTCCACGGGGTGACAGAGTTGGAAAGTAAGAGTTGAAAACAAAGAGCTGTCACCTTGAGTTTCTGATTTGTTACCGTGTGGTGCATTAGCCTTTCACACCTGGATTCTTACCCCTACCAAACAAGGGATTTATGTTRCCTTAGTGCTGCTTCTATCATGGGSTGTTTTTAAAAACACTTTCGTTGAGTCAGCAAGAAGTCTTCAATGTAACTCGGGGTGCTGTGCCCGATGTGTGGGCTGTAAATGGGGTGTGAGGATTGCCTGGTCCAGCCAGGCCACGGAGGGGATGGGATGGCTGTATGTGGGTGTTCGGATTGCCAGCTGGTCAGTAATGCTGGGTGCTCTCATCCCACAGGCATGGCGCTGGCCCAGCGGCAAGTGACAGTGCAGGAGGGACCCCTGTACCGCACYGAGGGGTCCCACGTCACCCTGTGGTGCAAGGTGAGCGGCTACCAGGGCCCGGCGGAGCAGAACTTCCAGTGGTCCATCTACCTGCCCTCGGCCCCCGAGCGGGAGGTGCAGATCGTCAGCACCRTGGACCCCTCGTTCCCCTACGCCATCTACACCCAACGCGTGCGCGGCCGCGGCATCTTCGTGGAGCGGCTGCAGGGGGACGCCGTGCTGCTGCACATCACYGAGCTGCAGGAGCGCGACGCCGGCCAGTACGAGTGCCACACGCCCAACACCGACGAGCGCTACTTCGGCAGCTACAGCGCCAAGATGGACCTCGTGGGTAAGCTGTCCTGCCCCACCGGGGTGTTAGACCCTTAAACCCCGCTGTGCAAGATGGTCTGCATGGGCTGTCAGATAAAAATCCTGCAGGGAGAGCAGGAGCGGAAGCGGGTGGCACGGTGGTGTGAATTGCAGGAAATCAGGGTGTAGAGGCACAGGAAATGGTGAGCTTTCTTCAATAATAAAGCCCCTATAAAAATGAGACAACGGGCAGCTCAGCCTGGCAGAAGAACATTTGAAGCTGTGGCTGGAAGTGAGATGGACATGGAACTGATTTACGRAGGCAGAAAGGAGCAGGAAGTCTCTGTCAGATGGCACAGGCCACGGAGGAGAGAGCCGTGTGCCAGAGGTGGGGAAATAGCTGAGCGGGGAAGGGAAGAGAGGAGTAATAATGAGCAGCACATAAAAGGGAACAGGAGAGATGGTCATCTCAGACACTCAGTGCTGAATGCATTCTGAAACCAGCACACTGATCGGATTGAGCTGTCTGCAGATGAGTGTGGAGAAGTTGGTTTGGGGTTTTGGTTTTTTTTTTGGTTTGTATTAGAAAAATCAAAAACAGATTCTTCAAAATCTGGAGTATTTCATGGCACCTCTCTGACTAGAAGATTTGACCTTTTCAAGCTTCACCTTTCTTTCTGCATCTCAAAACAGGGTTGTATTTGAAGTTTCTAACTCAGCTAAAAGCAATCAAATAGCTTCCATCAAATTCTGAAAGACCCCTAAAAGTGTTGCTTCACAACAAAGACAACCCCTCTACCAAAATTTAGGCCCACAGACAGCAAGCAGCTTGCTTTCCTTAGGGGATATCTGCGAGCCTGCAGCTCGGAAACTGCTTTGATGCTATCCAGCAGTGTGGTGTTGCTGGTTCTGGCTGTGTTGACACAAGAAATGCAGTGTGATAGGAGCCAGGATATGATTTAAATCCCAATAGCCGTCCCTTTGGGTTGAGCTTTTTGCCTCCAGCTTGCGTGGCCTTGGCTTCTTTCCATCAGAGGTGCCAGTCCAGCCTCTCTCCCAGGTGAAGCTCCACAGCATGGCTGCAGGTGCTTATTGAGATGAGATGCCTGTTTTCCCATCTGATGTCCACAAGCAGTCTAGAGGTACATGCCTGAATACTCTATTTTTTATTTGTAGTTCTGTGATTTGCTTTAGGTGTCCACATTTGCAGTTCCCACTGCAGTTTAAACAAGGCTGAGTCAGCCCTGCTGCTGTGAAATCACCTCGGGGATTAAATGAAACCCATTGAAACCAACACTTGCTGAGAAAACGTGACTGTGGGCAGGCTGGGCTTGGCTGGATCCTGGGCTGCTGTGCCAGGGAGCTGCAGCTGAGCATGGTCAGCACATCCCATGCCTGGGCAGTGGGAAGCTCCTCCACTGCCCTCCAAGGGTCTGGCAACTCAAAGCTGGGTTGATGTCCTTTTGCTCTGTGCTGCCCTTGCCACAGCTACAAACCAGTAAGGTTTGTGACTCTGTGGACACCCATGAGTAGTGCTTTGAGAACATTAGCTTTGGGGCTTAGATGTATCAGAGTTACTCAAGAAAATTGATCTAAAGTAACTTTCAGTGGATTAGTTAAATCACATTAAGCCCCTTCATGGATGCTTGCGCTCCGATTTTGGGCCCTAATTTGGTTTAGCTTAATTCATTTCTGAAAATTCACCTCGGAAATTACTTAGGGTCACTTGCATTTTCAGTGTGTCCATCTGTGTAAGATRCTTTCTGTGGTTTAGCCAAACTGTGAAAGAAACTGAATTTTTCAGAATGCTTCCTACAGTGACCTATAGACAACAGGCTCTTATAGAGAGCCTTCCTTCAGCCTCCCATGGGATCTGGTGCTGACTTCAGCCTTGTTGGATCCTGAAGTCCTGCAGGGGAAATGGGCTTCTCTTTGCAGAGCTGCGCAGGTCAGAGATGTTCTTTTTGTTTTCCTGTTATTTTAGCTCTCAACTACAAGGACAGAGATTTTCAGGCTGGTTTTATTTCTGCAGACAATGTGCAAGAAGAGGTACAGAAGAGAGTTACTGTTCTCATTTTCTCAGAAAAAGAGCCCAACTTTTTTTTTTGTTCATCCAGTTATGAATTTTTAATTGACTCATTAGATTGAGTGGCTCTTTTTTGGCAGCAGCAGAGCCTTAAGGGAGACAGGTTTGTTAGCATCTCTATTCCCTCCACTTAGGTGTGAAGTAGATGGGCTTGAAGCAGTGTTGATTTTAGACTCCTGCTCTGGGACCTTGGAATTGTTTGGAATTGTATCCCATGGTTTGGGGAAAGGGCTGAAGGAGGAGTTTCTCACCTTTTCCACCTGGGTGCTGCAGCCCCGTGATGGGGGAGCTGGGTGGGCGCTGCTGCAGTGGGACATGGGGCTCTGTCTGCACTGCACACTGCAGCTGCAATGTGCTCTGCTCCTGCCATCAGAGCAYTGTTGAACGCTGTGTCTCCAGGCTCTGAGGCTGCTGCAAAATAATCTTGTCAGCTTCAAAGACGTGCCAGTTTGACTCAGAAGTACACTTGTATCCACCTCATGAGCAGCAAGCCTGGCTGATTGTCCCTTTCTCATTTTTAATGTCACCACTCCAGATTCCTTTTCCTTCACCAAAATTTTGGCCACGGTCTAGTATTGCTTTGAAGACCTGGTGTCTTTGGTGGCCTGGAGTAAGAAGTGCTCCCCAGGCACTCTGTGGGATTCTTATCAGAATTTAGGCATGCAGCACAAGTGCTAATCTCAGTGAAGCTCGGAATGAGGCCAGTCATGTGGCTCAAGGGCCGTCTGCGGTACAAATGTGTATCAAGGCTTAATCTTCTTCACCAGTTTTCAATCTCCTTCAGCTGCTTCAAAAACAAGCCTTTCTGCGTCTTCTCATCGCCTTCTGTGCTGCAGCTTTGGGAAGATGGAGTTATATCTGAGCTGCAAGATGTGCTAGGATAAGAGTTTAGGACATTGCAGACTGAATTTCCCTTCTGCTGAGGGAGCTGGAAAAAAAAAAGGGGTGCAGCTCTTCAGGATGTTGTGGAGCCATGTCCTTGTGATGGATTTATGAGAAAGGATTAGCCCATGTACAAAGTCTGTAACTTTGCTGTCTGCCTTCAGAGTTCAGTTCCCTGAGGCTGACATGAAATTGCTGAGGCTGGTTCATGCTCCTGTACTCAGGGTGGCAGGAAAAGATTTTGGAGGATCTGATCGCCCACCCTTTTAACATCAGAGTCACTGCCTAAGGTAGATGTTCAGTCATCAGATGACAGAAAAGGACAAATCTGGAGGGCAGTCTATCTTGGTTTAAATTAAGTGCATAGTTTTCTTTGTTGATTAAAGAGAGATCCATCCTACAAGTTAGACTCGAGCTAGGCAGTAGTGGCTGAAGACTGGGCTGCTTTTGGAAACTTCCTCCATCTGGCTTCTAAGCAGCTGATGGGAATTTTGACTTTGTAGTTGAATAGGGAAAATACTTGAGCATGCTGAAGAAGGGGGTTACAAAATTTAAATTGAATGGATTAAACCRTGGATCTGGGGACTATGCACATGATTGTTTTGGGGTCCTGCATGCTGCTGGCTGTGAGAAATATATGGGCTGTTGCTTCATTTTTTAAGAAGTAAAGGACAGCAGAGGATTTTCAGGTGAAGGAAAGCAGCATCCCAGAAACACAGCAGCCCCAGTGACAAGACAACAGTATTTTYTTAATAACTCTTGAAATATGGGCTGAAGAGGAGGTTTCTGTGCAGTAATTTAGGTAGTGGAGCTGCAGGAGAGCTGTGCAAATTGAGGTGCTGGTTTGTGCCTCTCCTGTTGATGGGCAAACTTCTGTTTTGCTGCAGGGTAGAACTGAGCACATGGCAGTTCCTTCAAAGAGCATGAGTCACTGCAAATTTGTACTCCACTGTATCTCTGCAATGAGTTGTTTGTGTGCCTGTACCCTTACTTAGATAACAGTGAAGAGGCCCAGGTCTAACCTCTTCAGAAGCTTCAGACTTTTATCTCAGTGTTTTTTCATCTGTGTTCCCAAAAAACATTGAGATCTCTTTCAGAGTAAGTGATTTGAGGAAAGAAATCAAGCTTTGAGGTTTTTCTTAAACAGGTAGCGATAGAGCGGGAAGAAAGGTTTCAAAGCACTTGAGGGGGTGGAGGCTCTTTTATTCTTTATTTTGGGGGAAGCAGCTGTAGAGCATCAATCCTAAACAATTTCAAGCAAAAAAAATGAAAGGGATTTGGATGGGAAGAGACCACAGTCTCCACGGTACCACAGACTGGGAAGAAGCAATGTCAGTGCAGACTTGAGAAACAAGGAGCACTGATGTACAGCTGCTTTTGCAGTGGGCAGGAGCTGCTGTGGGGCTGGTGGTGCCTGCAATGATGGTCAACAGGACCTTCTTCCAGCCAGGCTTAAGTCACAGGAGGCAAAGAGGCTTCATGCTAGCGAGGTGCTATTCAGTGGCTGCTGTCAGCCCTCTAAACCTGGCCACATTTCTTCTCTCTATTTCTYACTGGTCTTATCCTGCCTAGGTGRGTTGATGCCTTGGCCTCTGCTTCATTCTCCTGTGTCCTGCATTACCTGTGGTGGCTCCCACGGGCTCTGTGAGGTTTTTGCTGGCATCCCCATCCAGGCTTAGGAGTGGTGGTAGACAAGGGCATTTTTGGGGTGAAGAGCTATCTGCTCCCTCCTTGCTGGCTGTGGCTCTGCRTGGTGGGGTCTCGTGTCCTAAAGCTGAGCTGCCTAAGGCACTTAAGCTCTCTGCAGACCCATACTTGATCCATGGGCACTCAGACCATGTCTTTTGGAATTTGTCTTTAGGATCCTCTGTGCCCTGCAGCTGTGGTAATGTAACTGTGGCTGCTTGCAAGCCTGTAGCTGGGACAGAGAGGATTTCTGTAGGGTGTGTGTGAGAGGCTTTGGTAGCACAGGAGGTGGAAGAAAGATTTATGCAGGCAAGACACTTAGCACTGGAAGGAAAGGAGCTAGGTGTGTTGCAGACTAACATCCAAGAGAAGAAAGCTCATCTCTT